TTCTATTACAAACTGACCACAAGTTGAACATTTGCTTCACATCTGAAACTACTGCTTCCTTGAATTTCCTTAAATCTAACACTGGTATAGGAGTCCAATTAGCTCTTACAGAGCCTCTATCATTTGGCAATCCCTATAAGGTTACTGGATATATTAAGGTTGGTTGTTTGAAAACTTTAAACTGTTCTTCTCTAACTTAAAATTCCTCTGTCTGGACCTAAATATCTCTATGATCTCTTTTATTAAGTTTTTCTAAGGCCTGTATCTTGGCAGTTAAACCAAACAACTTTTCAAGAGATGAACTAAGAATTGTCAAATAACAATGATTATCAAAGTAATAATTAACAGTACATCAATCCCAGTTGATTATTCCTTCATTTAGCTGTTCCATTTTAAATCATGCATTATATAATCATGCAGAGACCTATCTTTATTGTAATTGTGCTTCCCATTTTTTCTAACATGGGAAAAAACTTCTGCCTTTTAACTAATTCCTTCCTTAAGGAATTCCCAACTTTCTCACCAGATCTACTACCTGCTGCCAATGATGACATGAGGCTTATTACTGCTGCATAACAGTAAAAGCCTGATTGGCTTTCAAGGTGGCTACATAGCTTGGCAGCTGCCTGAGAATATGATTCAGGGAAAGCCCACCAGGAGAGAAGGAAGGAAAATTTCTGGTATGCCAATAACTTGGGATGCATGTAGCTCCAGTCTATGCTGGTGACTGCAAAGTCACAGGCAAATGGTTTTTTATGAATTTGTACCCCAAAAGTTGGGTGCCAGATGTAGCATGAATAATAAGAATCCAGATACAGGTATTGGAGTTCAAGATAAAAGATCAGAGAAGGCAACTACTAGAAAGCTCTTGCCTCTATGAAATCTTAAGACTGAGAAGACAGCAAGTTCCTGTCTCATCCTGCCTTTTATTCCTCGCTAGTGCTGGTATTAAAGGCATGCACCACCATTGCCCAGCCTCTATGGCTAACTAGTGTGGTTGCTGGGATTAAAGGTGTCTGCCATCACTGCCTGGCCTGTATGGATGACTAGTATGGCTAGCTTTGCACTCTGATCTTCAAGAAAGCTTTATTTGCTCAAATACAAATAAGATATAAATCTTGGCATATACCCAGATATGCCAAGAAATGGGGAAAGGGAAGCCACTGGAGTTGAGAAGAGGATAATACAACTCTACAGAAATTCCTCCAATTCTACAAATTCCGAGGGACTACTAAGTTACTGTAGTCAATTTTCAGAATATAAAAATACATGGAAGTCCACTTTTTTTCTGGAAAAAATAATTAGATGTATAATTAATTTTTTAAATGCAACATAAAATACAACTGATGATTGGGGGAGGGGAGGGAAATGGGAGGAGGTGGCGGGGAGGAGACAGAAATCCTTATTAAATAAATAAAAAAATTACAACTGATGAAAGACACAAACCCACAAATATATCATAGTCTTTTAAGCAAAGAAGTATAGAATCTAATACAACAAGAACAAACCATAGGCCCAGGACTCACTCTTGTGCACTCTAGTACCCTGCTCTGCCAGTCATAGAAATGGTGCGTTTGTGGGGCTCTTCTTCCAAAATTTGAGACTTACTCAATAACTCTGATGTTTCCCAACATTGTAGATGATACTTTTAACTAATAAAATCTATTTCATTCTCTTATGGTAAAGGAAATGATTCCTTTTATGATCACTTAGAAAATATTTTATGTTTCCCATGATTAGTGACTGGATGCATTTCTCCATCACAGTGAGGTAAGGTAAAACAAACCTTTAAAAACCAAAAGCAAAATAACAGATTTTAAAAGAAAATTTGTATGATTTGTTTTATGCACTGAAAGCAACTTGTGCTCCAATTGCTTTATGAGCCATAAACACTTTTGAAAAAAGGTTAAATTGCACTTTTATGTTTGCTTGTGTGAGAGTATCTTTCATGTATATACAGGTGACACCTGAAGAAATAAGTTTGTCAGATACTTTGAATCTGGAGTTGCAGATACATACATATGAGCCTCCCATCATGGGTACCATTATATGAATATAGGTATTCCTAAGGAGAGTGCATGCTGAGCCAGCTGTCCAGCCCCAAAGAACATTTTATGCAATAAACTAAGTCTTTCACATTTTCACAAAAAGAAAGAACTAAATAAACGGTGAGTCATTTGATGATCCCTGTGTACATGATGACTCAATAGTAAGATATCAGACATGTTCAAATTGCAGTATAAATTCAACACACTCAAAGAAAACTCTCAACTATTTGTTAACGAAAAGTTGTTTCTAAGAAAAAAAGAAAGAAAAGTTGTTTCTAAAGTTATATGGAAAGCAGAAAGCTATGGATTGCTCAATAGGATTGTGTTTAGGGAGCGACAGTACACATTTAACCTATGATACGTTTGGATCCTGTAGAAATTTTGTGCAACTGAGCCCTCAGGATTACAACTGTGCGACAATGGTCTTTTATCCTGTCACTTTTATTATTTTTAATAAGATGCTGATTGTCCAGTAGCCAACAGAAAGTAGAGGCAGGGTGATGAGAAAAGGAGAATTTTGAAAGGAAGAGTCAGTCTGTAGCTGTCACTCAGACACAGAGGAAGCAAGATTAGAATGTTTCACTGAAAAAGGAAACAAGCCACATGGCTAACAGACAAGAATTGTGGGCTAATATAAGTTATAAAAGTTAATAAGAAGCCTGAGCTACTAGGCCAACCAGTTTAGGATTAATGTAGACCTCTGTGTGTTTATTTGGGACTAAACGGCTGTGGGACCTGGTAGGACAAAAACATCTGTCAATGGTTACCACATTTATAATAAAGAGATGACACCAGACTACTACAGTGTGTGTTAGCTTTGATTTTGACACACTGATATATTTAATGATATATTTAATGGTTGATATAGTTAATATTTAATGACCTATTTAATGGCTTCAAGAGGCAAGTGAAGAAATTTCTTAGTCATGTGCCTTCCAAAACTAGCAAGGCATCATCTGACACTTTTAAATGGTTAGGCTTGGAAGGCTCGTGTCAAATTTCCATCAGCTCAGAACCATTCTTGGCAAAGCACAGGCCATACCAGAACCAAAAGAAATGAACATCGGGTGCTAAAAAGAAGCCGTTGCCAGAAGGCAGGTGTTACAGCTGCAGGCTGGAGATGGAGTCTGTGCTGGGCATTATTGCCTAGCCACAGCTTCCCACCTGAAATTTCCAAGAATTTTTCTTTAAGGGACTGTTTGGTACATGTTTGCTGTCCACTTTTGCCCAACCATGCTCTAAAACAATGTTTTTGTTTGTATTTCCATCTATTCACAGGCATCAGGGAAGCAGAATACAATCCCTTTCAAACAAGTCAACCTTTATGCCTGCAAATTCCTTTTTCCTCCATGAAGGAGGCAGAAACACCAGCTGAAGTACACCTGACCTGTCCTTGTGGGCTCCAATTGCTGCCGATTTATCACATTTGGAATAAACTCACTCTCGTGGCTTCGGTCAAGTGGACAAAACATTGGGGCTTCTACTGTCCTATTCTCTTCAGCACCTTTGCATGCTCCCCTCATTCTGTGGCGATCTGGGCTCAGACATTTCTTGAAGCACCAAGTCTAAGTTAACTTCTGATGTTATCAATCTTATATTTCTCTGGGGTCATTGGGGCTGAGGTAAAGATGAAGTAAAAAAAAAAAGTCATTCGCATCTTTATTCACTTCAAGAGAAGTGTGTTAACCATGACAATAAGAAGCAATATGGAGAGCCCACTAACAGCACTAGAAATCCATTGCATCCTTCCATGTAGCAGGAACTTTCGTTACCTTCAAGTGACAGATGACAGGAATAATGGGGCATCTTCATCTTCTGCATTATAATGACATATGTGGGAGCTGGAGAGTTGGCTCAGTAGTATTGATCATGTTAGATACCCAGATTCGGTTCCTAGCACATCAGATGTCTCGGGCTATCTATATGTCAGGTGCAGTAGATAGGATGCACTGTTTGCCTGCTTGGGCACCACGGCATGCAAATGGTGTAAAAAGAGATACATATGTGACAACATATTGTAAAAAAAAGTGTTCTTCATGTGAGTGTTATTTTCTAAATAAAATTAATTTAGGTGTATAAATTTGCTAATGTGTATACTAGTTGCAATTCAGGTACTAATGGTAACCTGAAGATAGTGTTAGATCCACCGTGACTGGTTCTACAGACAATTCTGAGCTGTCTTGTGGGTGCTGGGAATCAAAGCCAGGTCCTCTGGTCAAAAAAAAAAAAAAATCCAGTGTTCTTAGCTGCTGAGTCATCTATTCCACCATATAGACACGTCACTACTATACCAAGTTTGGATATATTGTTTAAATGACCTATCTCTGAATCAGAATGAAAAGATAATATAAATTTAAGCAGGAACCATTATTGTTTTGATGAACAGTAATGTTCTTAAAGTTCTACAATGTATTAGTTTCAATTGGTAAATCATTTCATATAATCTCAATATTTTGTTTATTTTGTTAACTTCAACTTCTTAAACTGTTTAACTGTGTGTATACACTTGTGCCTTGGTGTGCATGTAACACTTACAGGACAGGTTACAGCTGTCCATTACTACTTTGTCTATGTGCGTTCTTGGGATCAAATGCAGGTAATCAAGTTTGGTTGCAAGTGACCTCACTGACCTTACCTGGGTTTAAAAATTATTTTTCTATGTGTTTGTGTTGTGCACATGCCAGAGCCCAAGAATAGGAATAAGAGAAAAATAATGCGGGAGTCCACGTGTAGAAATAAGAGGAAAACTTGTCAAGTAGCATGAACTATTACTGAGGAGGACTAGTGGTAGAGACTGAACCCACGTCATCAGGCTTAAGTCAGGTCACTGTGCTTAGTAGCAACTTTACCCACTGAGGCAATTCTCTGGAATTCATTTGTGGTTCTAATAAAGTTTTATCAACAAGTGGTTAGTCCTCAGAATAAAATAACACAATCAAAAAGATAGCAGTATAAATATATTTATTTGCAAATAGGATTCATTATTCAAATTATACTGTTCCTTTATCCTGATTAAATGACAATATGTTTACAATCTGAATAGGTGTTTTATGATATAATGTTTCTACTAATCTTATTTGAGCACTAATGAGATGCCTCATCAGGAAAAAAAAATGTCTCTGGTGTGCAAGGCTGGCAACCTGACCTTGATCCATGTGAAGAGGGCCAAAAGAAACCCCACAAAGTTTTCTTCTGGTCCCAACGTATCTGTCATCCATTCAAACCTATAATCACATTACACCACAGACATAACAAAACTGTTTTAGAAAATAAATCTCATTGCCCTTACATTATCTGGCCTCTCTAGAAAATTGCTTTAGGAGGCAATACTTCAAGATGGAGTGCCAAACGAGTAAAAATTGGATCATGAAGAGGCAGAAATGTCCAAATAATCTATACCTATCCATAGCACATCAAGCTATGTTGTGAGATATACAGTTGGTTGCTGATTATTCTAATTTATTTTATCTATCAGATAGATGAAAATATTCCTTTGGATACACACATGAGGTATTTAATGTTTCCTACATTCACTTCTACTAAGCATTTTAACATTAACATTAACATTGTTAAAATGCACTGTCAAAACAGGACACATTAGAGATCTATCTTCTACACTTGGACTTGGACTGGGAAGGCTGACACATGAGAATCATGAGTTCAAATGTAGTTCCAGTGAATTACTGGCATCTGAGCCAGGCTAGATAACAAACAACATCTAAAGGGAGTTTGTGAAAGTTTGAAAAACCAAACCAGGAACAACAAGCCACTGCCCTTTCACAGACACCTTTGCTTTTTGCCAGGTATTTAAATAAACAATGAACCACTTAGATGATGGGCATCTCTTTCTGTGCGTTTCAGCAGAAAAATACCTACCTCCAAGTCAGATCACAACAGAAGATGAAGTCAAAAAGGACTATATGAACCACCAGATAAATTTCAGTAAGTGAATTTGCCATATATAATTCAATACCTACTCCAAAAGTTTCAAACTACAAACCACAATACTGTGATCTCCAACATCAGACTTCAGTGAACATAGTAAACAATTTAACTTGCTTCAAGGCTCTGCTAACAAAGAGATGAAACAAGATTTTTTTTCTCTTGAAACTGAAGATAGCTCTGATGTCTAAAGACTTTACCATAGTGTTTACATGCCCAGTGTTTCTCATTTGTATGAGTTCTTTCCTATTTCCTAATGGTACGATTATACATAAAAGCTTTAAAATATTTACAGGGCTAGAGACAGGGCCAAGCAGTTAAGAAAAGTTTATGCTCAGAATCCAGGTGAGATTCTGGACAACTTCCTGTAATCCCAGCTAGAAATCCAGAAGACTGCAGGGTCTATCCTTTGGAACCATCAGACAATGCCTATATCCAAAGACACACTGACATAACAAGATAAAAATTAAAACAAATCATTAAACAACCATTTTCCTTCATGAATATTATTCTTGTATAAGCATTCTTGCCTGTAACCCAGATGCTGAGGCATCTAAAGGCTTCCCTACAGAGTTTTTTCTTCATCATGAATTGGTTCATATAACAGAAAGCAATCATGTAGGCTTCAAAATCAGAGAAGCAATACTTTTCAGTTGTTGGTACCATTTGGAAAAGCTTAGAAAATGCGGCCCGTGAGAGGAAAAATGTCACTGGGGGTAGATTCTGAGATAATAAAATTCTCAGACCACTCCCGGTTTCCACTCTCGCCCCATGCTTCATGCTCAGGATGTGAGCCCTGAGCTTCCCGCTTTAGCTGTCAGGTCTGACACTGGTTGCATATTTCTCTCATAATGATCTTGTTTAGCTTTGGAACCATAAGCCAAAATTAAGCTCTTTTTAAGTTGCCTTAGACATGGTGTTTTATCACAGGAAGAGTAGTACACATCCATAAATTCTACTCTGGGATGAATTATTTCATGTAATTGAAGAGAAGTGTGATATCTAAAATGTTTGCCTTACGAGTTAAATCCACAGGGCTTTTTTCCATATGAGTTTATAGGTGCAAAAAATAAATAAATAGAGACATTATAATGCTTGAATAGATTGTTGACATCTGTCAGTTTTACCTCCACCATAAATAATCTTGTGTAACTAAATGTAAATTTGCTGGCTAAAGTCTTTATTCTCATAGATTCTCCTTTGGTGTAAGTTCTTTTGTGTCCTTAATACTACTATAATGTATGAAGACTTTAGTAGATAGAGTGATTAAACATGACAGGTTTTACTCTTGGATGAACTCTTTCATGGTTTCAAAGACTATGGTGAAATGCAAACTTTATGACATTGATTACATTCATAGGGTTACTCTCCAATATGAATTCTTTCATGCCTTTGAAGATTACTGTGGCACGCAAAGGCTTTACCACATTGCTTACATTCCCAGGGCTTCTCTCCCAGGTGAGTTCTTTTATGAACTTGGAGATGACGCTCTTGTGAAAAGGTTTTTCCACACTCATTACATTCATGCCGGTTCTGTCCAGTATGAATTCTTTTGTGCCTTTGAAGATTTCTATGACGTGCAAAAGTTTTTCCACACTGATTACATCCATAGGGTTTCTCTCCAGTGTGAATTCTTTTATGAACTTGGAGATAACTCGGTTGTGAGAAGGCTTTCCCACACTGATTACATTCATACAGTTTTACTCCAGTGTGAATTTTTTCATGTACTCTAATATAAGTGTAATCTGCAAAAAACTTACCACATTGTTTACATCCATAGGGCTTCTCTCCAGTATGGGTTCGTGTATGTATCTGGAGATAACTCTGTCGTGCAAAGGCTTTTCCACATTGATTGCACTCATAGGGCTTCTCTCCAGTATGGGTTCGTATATGTATCTGGAGATAACTCTGTCGAGAAAAGCCTTTCCCACAGTGATTGCATTCATAGGGTTTTACCCCTGTATGAGTTATTTTATGCCTTTGAAGATTACTATGACGTGCAAAAGCTTTTCCACACTGATTACATTCATAGAGTTTCTCTGCAGTATGAATTCTTTTGTGACTTTGGAGATAACTGTAACATGCAAAGGCTTTCCCACACTGGTTGCATTCATAGGGCTTCACTCCAGTATGTGTTGTTGTATGAACTTGGAGATGACTCTGTTGTGAGAAGGCTTTACCACACTGATTACATACATAGGGTTTCTCTCCAGTATGAATTCTTTTATGACTTTCAAGATGAGTGTAACGTATAAACGCTTTCCCACAATAATCACATTCATAGGGTTTCTCTCGAGTATGAGTTCTTCTATGTATTTGGAGATGACTCTGCTGTGAGAAGGCTTTACCACACTGATTACATTCATGGAGTTTCTCTCCAGTAGGATGGCTTTCATGCCTGTAAAGATAGTTGGCACATGTAAATGCTTTAACAAATTCACTACTCAGATGAATGTTTTTATCTGTATAACTTAATTTTACAGTGTGGTCTAATGGCACAGAGAAGTCCAATAATAAGGTTTTACCACGTTCTTTAGAGTCATAGCGTTCCTCTTATATGTGCTCTTTTGGTTATCTGAAGATACCTGAGATGGCGAGAGCCTTTAGTACACGGCTTATTTTTATAACATCCTTTTTCATGAGTTTTTCATATAATTAAAGAGAACTGGAAGAACTCAGAGCTTTACCACACGGATGACATTCATAACATTTTTCCATACCGTGAATCATACATTTGCAAAGTGAACTAGGACAAACAAAAGGATTTACACACTTTGGACTTGAAAGGGCTTTTCTGTGGCATACTGATGCATTTCCAATGAGGTTTGAAAAAAATTAACTGTAAACTTACATCACATTCAGAAAGACTCAACATGGGGACCACTGCATATCTTCTAATTGTTCTGGGAAAGAGCAAGGTACACTGCTTCTTTCCATCTCATCTGAACACTTGGCCTATTCCCTAAGTAACATATGATACAACATTAAAGAAAGAATAACAAATAAAAGGGTCCCAAATTACATTCACATAGTTGATTGCTTGTTCCTCACAGACATATGGTATAGATATTCAGTTTTCTCCACAACAGCTTTCTTAATTCTCATAAACTACCCCCTTACTAAACTTTGGTATAGCTCACAAGTATACCAGTAACACTAGCTTTACCATGAAGTCCTTGCTGATTTGAAGATTTGGGACATATACTTATCAGCCAGTCAATAGGTATGCCTTTTGCTATGCCTGAATGGTATGGAACTATATGGAGTGACAGTTCTACAGCCTGGCTCTCACGAGGCGATGATGAAAATGGAGCATTGTTTTACTGTCTTCTTAGAGGAATACCTTAAAAACACAGATAATCTGCCTGATATTGAGGTACATAGTGTTGTGAAAATTTAGTAATGATCAATACACTCAAAACTATGCTTATTACACTGTTGCTTTTCCTTATAACTTTTAGGGCACATTAAATCCTTTTGTGGAGTTCGATGCCAATCTGGTCTACAAAGAGAGTTCCAGGACAGCCAGGACTGTTACACAGAGAAACCCTGTCTTGAAAGACGAGGAAAAAAAAATTCTGTGGAACATTTGTTTTAGCTTGCACATAAAAATTACCTTCCATTTCTTCTAGATCTTTGACAAAGTTCTTTAATATTGTGGTCTTCCCATTTGTAGCCTAAAATACAGTAACAGAAAATGTATGCTATATTATTGGAAATTATGCAAAATTTAAGTTAATATATCAAGTATATTATATATTATATTAACTTAAATATAATATTATATATATATGTATATATATTAACCTAAAAACCATACCTGATTTATTTACCACATTCTTCCCCTTTATCAATCCAAATTACAGAAAGGCATCAAAAGCCAAGAAACATCTGTCCCCTTATTTTAAAAGTTGAAGGAAAATTCACAGTCTTACCTATAGCAGTAAGGTTCCTGTAGGTCTCCAGCATCACATTTTTGTAGAGACTCTTCTGGGAAGCATCCAGCAAAGCCCACTCTTCCCAAGTAAAGTCAACATGCACATCATCATAGGTCACTGAATTCTAAAATATCCCATACATGTGTACAACAGAAAGAGTGATATTGATCACAATGTAAATGTATATTTCTTTGTCAATATATTTGAATAATTTTGGAGCTTCCCACACTTACTCGATGACAGAGAAGTTATAATGTAATCCCAAATTACTTTAGAAAGAAATTGAAAAGAAGATTCGCACATGACATTTCTTGGCCTTTTGAATGGGATTTACCCTTCCAAGAGAAATGAGGCGGGCCAGTGGCGCAATGGATAACACCTCTGACTACGAATCAGAAGATTCTAGGTTCGACACCTGGCTGGCTCGGCCTAACACCTTGCCGGGCGGTGGTGGCGCACGCCTTTAATCCCAGCACTTGGGAGGCAGAGGCAGGCGGATCTCTGTGAGTTCGAGACCAGCCTTGTCTACAAAAGCTAGTTCCAGGACAGGCTCCAAAGCCACAGAGAAACCCTGTCTTGAAAAACAAAAAAAAAAAAAAAAAAAAAAAAGAGAAATGACTATTAACAGACATACAGAGAGACAAACAAACAAATCAACAGCACTAAATACATGTCAGAGAAATTGCATGAACAATAAATAACTATAAAAAAAAGATGGGCAGGGCTGGAGAGATGGCTCAGTGGTTAAGAGCACTGGTTGCTCTTCTAGAGGTCCTGAGTTCAATTCCCAGCAACCACGTGGTGGCTCACAACCATCTATAATAAGATCTGGTGCCCTCTTCTGGCATGTATATACATAAGAAATAAATTAATTGAAAAAAAATGGGCAAGCTGGGTGTACTGTCTCATATCTTTAACCCGAGCACACAGGAGGTAGAGGTGGGTGAATCTCATTCAGTTGGAAACCAACCTGGTCTATGAAATGAGTTCAGTGTAGCCAAGGGTACATATTTGGAGTCCCCCCCCCCAAAAAAAACCTAACCAATCAGGTTCTCACTGATGTTCCTACAAAGAGACATGCATTCATTCCAGTTCTATATTCATCTCCTAGAAACATGAAGTGTCACAGTTAAAACTGTAACATTAATAAGAGCTTATTAAAAAGGAATACATGTTTGACCCATTAAGAGATGTACAGATGAAATGTAAGCATTGTAAATGCAAATAAAAAGATAGCACAGGAGAGATAACTCAGCAGTTAACAGCGCTTGCTGATCTTGTAGAGGAGACAGGTTCAATTGGAAGTACTTACATAGTTCACAACTATCCATAACTCCAAGTTTAGAGATTCTGAGACCATATTCTGCCTACGAGGAGCACTAGGCACACATAGTCGGTGCATATCCCTGCATACCGACAAAATGCTCATATTTATAAAAACATTTCAACATACACAACAAGTAGGAAGAATGTCACAAAATTGCTATCTATTGACAGATGACCCTCAGACATTATTAATGTCATGAATATATGCCATCCAAGGAGGAAAAAATGACACCCTCTGCCAAAGTGTAGAAGTCAAGATGTTGGTGAAGCTCAGCATATCAGCACATGCTTGGAATGTACAAAAAATATACATTCCAGCTTCACCAGCAAATAATATAAAAAAAAGTGGGTATGTTAGCCCACACATTTAACATCAGAACTTCAAAGGCAGAAGTTAGCCAGATCTCTGAATTCGAGGCCAGCCTGGTCTTCAGAGCTATTTTCAGGATCATCAGTGCTATATATACTGAGAAACCTTGTCTTCAAAAACAAAACAACGAAATAAAAACAGGTGATCAAAAAGGCTTAGTATTAAAAACAAAAACTTGTACTGTACCTTCTGTTATGTAGGGACAGATTTATAATGTGGTGAACTCATGACAGCATGAGATGGAAGCTGGCTGATCAATTTCAACCACAAGAAAAGTAGACACAAGGAACAGGAAATGGGATGAAGCTATAGACACTCAAATCACATCCCCCAAGAGGAGTGTCCTCTAGAAGGCTCCTCCTTCTAAAGATTCCATTAGAACCACAAAGAAAGTCATGAATGAGAGACAAGAGTTCATATATATCATCCTATATGAGAGGTTTTTGTTCAGTCATTTACATCTTCTGCCCCAGGTCACTATGTCAGATGATGATGAAAAAACATTTTTTCCTGTGTTCCCCGAGAGCCCCCAGTGTTACTCTCTCTGTGGATTGTAGTGTCATTATCCTTGACTTAACAGCTAATATCCACTTATTAGTGAGTACTTATGTTTCCTTTTCTGGATCAGGGTCGCCTCTCTCCAAATGATTTTTTCCTACTTCCATCCATTGCCTGCAAATTTCATGATGTTATTTTTTTAACAGTTAACTAATACTCCATAGACATATGTTATTATCCTTAAGTGTCTCTTAGGCTCAGGCTACAGGTTACACTTTGAAAATTTTAAATAGACTCTAAGTCTAGACACATAGGCAGATGGGAGACTTACAGAGATATTACCAGAACTATTTCTTAAGCACACCAGTGACCTGAAATGGCAGGTCATCCTTCAGTGACAAGGTCCAAAAGGACAAGAGCCAGGGAATGATAAAGACAGGAAAGTAGAAAGTATAAAAACTAAAGGTGGATTTGGGGACTTTGCAGAAGCTATGTGTTATGCCAAGTAAGACATATGTTATTCTATATACATACATACAAACATACAAAGAATGAAAGGAAGAAAGAAAAAAAGGAAGGAAGGAAGGAAAAAAGCAAGGAAGGTAGGTTAAGACTGATGTGCCCTAAAGGCCCAGTTTTCTTTTTGAAAATAGCATAGTTCTGACTAATGGGCAATATGACTCTACATGACAACTCTTTGTGTTGAGGATTTGACTAGTCAAGCAAGACTGTCCTATTAGGGCCTCATGCAGGGAGAAGAAACATGCTTTGAAGAACCAGTAACAGCCTGGGGCCTAGGCCTCAGGAGCTTTTGCTAAGTGCCTTAGGTATAGAGAAAAAACAAAACAAACGAAAACCAAATCTATAAAACTAGAAATATGCTTAAAAGAACTAGTAATGGACTGAGACCAGGAAGTTTGGGGGTTAACATCTTCTATACAACTTCCATGGGGGAAATGTAAGCAAATTGGAGACATCTATGAAGTCAGTTGATACAATGGATTGACTCAAGAGAAGGCTAATCAAACAATGTAGCAAAAGGGAAACATAGGGTATCTCAAGAACATTACTGACTAAGTCCAATGGCCTTTGGACTAATAACCACAGCTCCATGTGGTAGGAAGTGTTGGGTTCTCAGGATCTGAAACAACCCTTCACCACATGGCTCTGGCTCTTTTTGCCTGCTGACCCATGTGGACACCTTCCTTCTCTCTTCCACCCGGTATTCTCTTGCCTTGTAGTCTGATGACCCCTACCGTGTTCTGCTATGATACCCTCTTGCTGTGGGACAATGATCTTGTACTCTGTAAAGATTTGTCACTTGTACTGGTTTAATAAAATGCAGATTGGCCAGTAGCCAGGCAGGAAATATAGGCAGGGCAACTAGTACAGGAGAATTTTGGAAAGAAGAAAGACTCAGTCTGCAGACAGAGGAAGCAAGATGAAGATGCCTTGTTGATAAAAAGGTACCAAGCCACACGGCTAACACAGCAAGAATTATGGGTTAATGTATGATGTAAGAGTTAGTTAATAAGAAAGCCTGAGCTAATAGGCCAACCAGTTTATAATTATTGTAGGCTCCTGTGTGTTTCTTCAGGACTGAATGACTGTGGGACCAGGTGGGACAGAAACTTCTGTCAACACCCTCTCTCTTTTTCCATGGACACAGATTTTAACAGCTTGGCCTCAATACAAATGAATAGCCAAACTTAGTGAACTTGATTACCAAATTCTCACAAATTGTTAATTAAAATGGAGTTACTCTAAAACAGAGCAGCACTACCTCTATTAGACACCAAAGGGTAACAAATAAAAACTCTGTGCAATGTTTAAGTTATTTCTTTTGAAATTCTTGCCAATTAGGTCCCAAAGACTCTTCAAACAGTACATTGTGATGTGGGGATGTCTGTCTTTATATGTGCTGCTTTTATTGGTTGATGAATAAAGTTGTTTGGGCAATGGCTTAGCAAAGCAAAGTCAGGTGGGAAATCTGAATGTGGGGGGGCAGAGTCAGGGAGATGCCAGAAGCTGACAAAGGAGAAAGATGCCGAAACTCTTACCGGTAGGCCACAGCCTTGTGGTGATACACAGATGAATGGATATGGGTTAATTTAAGATGTAAGAGCTAGTTAGGAATATGCCTAAGCTATTGGCTAGGCAGTATTATAATTAATATAGTTCCTGTGTGATTATTTGAGTCTGGATGGCTGGGAACAAAAGAGTAGTTTCTGTTTACAACGTTGTATTGCTATTGTTCTTGGTGATCAAAAACTTGACGATGAGATCTATTGCTGAAGACACCATATGCTTGAGTCATACAGCATGGCAAAATCAAAGGGGTAAAGAAGCAGAAGCTTCATCCCCACTGACTGCTTTTCACAGTGTTGGAAGGTGCTATGCAAGCTACTGGAGGAGACAAGTAATCCTAAGTCATGCCCATCTGCAAACAGTTCAAGCCGTAATGATGACTGACCTGACAAGGCCTGCCCACTGGGATACGAGCAGCACAAATATCATGGGAGTAAGCAACACTTCCTGACTGTATCCATGTCCCTCTCCACAGAATTAAACACATATCTGGCACCATTAGCAGACTTAGAACTTAAGGATTGGCTGGTCATTGGCTTTAGGGAAGAATGGATTACTATTATGCTGCTAAGTGGACACAGAATTAATATGACTTAAAATAACTTACCATTATATCCATAGATCAACAGACCTCCCATCCCTCAACTCAGATGCTTCTAATTGAAGTAGACCGCGATTGTCATGGTGGTACCTAGGTGTCCAAGATGCAGAGAATAAGTGATTGGGGAATGTTCAGTCTTAAAGCAGCATGTATAATACAAGCCCCTCCTAAGTCTCAGGGATCACTGTGGAAGATGTGGCAGGAAGAGCATAAAATGCAGAGATGTGCTCTGTTCCCCCAGTCCCAATCCTCTCAGGCTTTTCCCTAGTGCTGGAAGAGATCATCAGCTGAAGCCTCCCTTCCCACAGCCCACATCTCCTGGGACCCCCACAGACCATCCTCTCTACATCTCCCTCTCCACACTCTTTACTGTGTTCCAGTCACCAACACCAGCAGGCATTCACTGTGAACACACCAGCTGAGCAGGCCAATAAATCAGACAATGCACAGCCATCACACTTTAGAAAAATCCAGAAAGGAACCAAAAACCAAAGAACATAATACCTACCCAACTAAGACAAACCCTTTCATCAACACCTAGATCTATATATAACCATCCCAAACTTAGATGCCAGTGTAAGAAAATAATCAATAACAATCAAGGCACTATGTCTTGACCAGACCCCAGTTATCCTACCACAGCAGGCCATGAATATTCTAACAGCATAGCTCAAGCATAAGAGAGAGAGAGAGAGAGAGAGAGAGAGAGAGAGAGAGAGACAAAAAAAAAAAACTTAACACAAATTATATGAAAATCATTCAAGTCCTTAAGGTGGAAATGAATAAATTCCTTAAAGAAAGACAGGAAAACATAAACAAAAAGTTGGAGGAAATAATTAAATCCTTTAAATAAAGCCAAGAAAAAGGAAACAAACAGTTGTAAGAAATGACTAAAACTGTTCAAGACCTGAAAATGGAAACAGAAACAATAAACAAGATAGAAACTGACAGAATTCTGGGGAAAAAAGGGCTGAGGAATACAAACAGGAACTACAGATACAAGCTTCACCAAAAGAATAGAAGAGATGGAAGAAAGAAACTCAGGCATTGAAGATATGATAGAAGAAATGGAAATATTAGTCAAAGAAAATATTAAATCTAAAAGAAATTCCTGACAAAAATCCAGGAAATCTAGGCTATTACAAAGAACAAATATAAGAATAATAAAAAATAGAGGACATTTAATAAAAAAAAATAGAGGAAAAAGAAACTCAGGTCAAAGGCACAGAAAATATTTTCAATAAATTATAGAAGAAAATATCTCTATATTATAAACCTAAAGGAGAGGCCTATCAAAGTACAAGAAGCATACAGAATATCAAACAGATTAGACCAAAAAAGTCCCCTCACCATATGATAATCAAAATACTAAACATACAAAACAAAGAAAAAGTATTAAAAGCTTCAAGGGAAAACACCAAGTAACAAATAAAGGAGTGCTATTAGAATTATACCCAACATCTCAATGGAGACTCCAAAAACCAGAGAGGTCTGGACACAGTGCTGCAGACACTAAGAGGCCACAGATGCAAGCCCCGAATACTATACCCAAAAATTACCATGGAGAAAATAAGATATTCTATGATGAATCCAATATAAACAGTATCTTTCTACAAATTCAGCCCTACAAAAGGTGTGTCTTAGAAGGAAAACTCCAATCTATAACTGTTATTCTTTTTTAAAAAATGCTGCAAGATCCCCGCGGCAGTAGGCAGCAGAAATGCTGTAGGTCCCAAATGTGGTAGCGGGCCATGTGGTGGCAGGCAGCGGAGGAGGAAGGGAGAAGGGGGGCAGAGAGAGGGAGAGAGAGAGAGAGAGAGAGAGAGAGAGAGAGAGAGAGAGAGAGGAGAGGAGAAAGAAAAGGAGAAAGGAGAGGAGGCAAAGCAGTGTGTACACTGGGAGAGAGAACTGGGAGAGAGAACAGGGAGAGAGAGCGAAGGCAGGCGAGGTCAGAGGTTAAAAAGGAGTGGGCGTGGCTAGGGCAGGGACCAAAAGAATAACAATAACCATGAAACCACAGGAAATAAATAATCTCACACCAGTAAAGCCAAAAGATAGGAAACTCACTCATCTGCTCTCTGTCTCACACACAAATGCACAAACAACAAGAACAACAACAATATAACGGGAGTCAACAATAATTGGTCATTTTTTTCCATTGGTCATTTTTATCCCTCAATATAAATGGTCTCAATTACCCAATAAGAAGACAAACTATTAGAGTAGATGTGAAAACAGGGTCCATCCTTCTGCTGCATACAAAAACATTCAACATCAAGAATAGACATTACCAGGTGGTGGTGGTGCACGCCTTTAATCCCAGCACTCGGGAGGCAGAGGCAGGTGGATCTCTGTGAGTTCGAGACCAGCCTGGTCTACAAGAGCTAGTTCCAGGACAGGCTCCAAGGCTACAGAGAAACCCTGTCTCGAAAAAACCAAATAAATAAACAAACAAACAAATAAACATTACCTCAGGTAAAGGGTTGGGAAAAGATATTCCAAGCAAATGGACTTATGAAGCATGCTGGTGTAGCCATTTTAATATCTACTAAAATATGCTACCATAGTTTCAAGTCTCCTAAATATCCTCAAAGGCAGACTAAAATCCAGAATTGTATTTTATTATTAGTTCTGGGAATCTTTGTGAAATCTCTTCTTGGATAGTGTGTATTTTAATGCTTGGTCATTACATACTTAGAACAGTTACAATATTTATAGCATATTAATAGGAATTTTTATTTTTAATGTATAAGGTTCTTGAATTACTATTTTCAAATATACATTTTGTTACTGCTCTGTATATTTTTTATGAGCCTAGGTAGAAGAGCAAACACAACATGCTAAACTACCACGCTAGCACCTATAAAGCAAATGAATGCTTCTTAAACCCAGAAAACAGCCTTTTTTTAAAAAAAAAAAACTGCATAGGAACATACTGAAAAGGTGGCCGTGTTCTGATTTTTGAGAAGTAAACATTATTTTAAGATTAATATTCAAAACAGTAGTGGAAAACCACAAAGACACGACAGTAAGAATGCTGACACCAGTTCTTACAGTATTTATTACACCTTCAAATATGACCTAGCTCCTTCATCACTAAGCCCACGCCTGACTACTGAAAGCAGTGAACTCAGTGAACACACTGTGAAATAGAAGGCAGCTTGGTTTACTGTGTTTCATGTGACAAGCAGATGAGACTTCAAAGAGACACTGATTTATCTGACCAGTGGCTTTGCAACATAACCCAGTCAAACCAGTCTCCAAGACTTATAAACACTGAGCCATTGCTGAATGAGAACTTTTATGTTTTCTATGGGTTTACTTTCAAAAGTCAATTTAATGGGTAAGAAAGGGCTAGTTTACCCATGTAAAATGTGTAAGAAAGGGCTAGTTTATCCATGTAAAATGTGTAAGAAAGGGCTGGTTTACCTATGTAAAATGTGTAAGAAAGGGCTAGTTTATCCATGTAAAATGTGTAAGAAAGGGCTGGTTTACCTATGTAAAATGTGTAAGAAAGGGCTAGTTTATCCATGTAAAATGTGTAAGAAAGGGCTGGTTTACCCATGTAAAATGTGTAAGAAAGGGCTGGTTTACCCATGTAAAATGTGTAAGAAAGGGCTGGTTTACCCATGTAAAATGTGTAAGAAAGGGCTGGTTTACCCATGTAAAATGTGTAAGAAAGGGCTGGTTTACCCATGTAAAATGTGTAAGAAAGGGCTGGTTTACCCATGTAAAATGTGTAAGAAAGGGCTGGTTTACCCATGTAAAATGTGTAAGAAAGGGCTAGTTTACCCATGTAAAATGTGTAAGAAAGGGCTAGTTTACCCATGTAGTACTGGCATTCTCACTGTGTTCTGATTCAAAGGGACTCCCTGTTAACATTAGTCCCTTCAGGAATAAAGTCCCAACAAGATAAACCGCGGGATTAAATTGGAATAGTGATTCTCAAGAATGAAGGTCATAGAGCACAACACGGCAGCATTTTTAGGGATGGACAAAATACAGTGACAATCTCTGATTACCAGAAGCCTATAGTATAGCATATAAACCACACGTGAAAATCACGCATGGCTATGAAGACACTATAATAGGGGCTAGGGCTGTAGCTCACCTAGTTGGTAGAGTGTTTGCCCTGCATTCATATCACCAACAACACGTGTGACAATGGTTCACACTTGCACTGGTTACTTTTCTAGGCGACCTGAGTTTGATTCCCAGCACCCACACAGCAGCTCACAACCATCTTTAGTTATAGTTCCAGGCAATCTGGCATCCATAGGTACCAGAAGTGCAAGTGGTACATACACATACACGTAAGCAAACCTATGTATGCAGCCAAAAATTTTCTAGTAAAAATAGAAAATATTAGTACATACACATTAGTATATAACAACTTGGCCTAGAGCTAAACATGTATACTTTACTAATTCATCCCATATTACACACTACCAAACAAATTTTCAGTTCCTCTCACTTCTGAGTTTAGAACTTATGTCATAGAGAATTTCCTGACTCACCTATCAATAGTTTTCCATTTTGTTTCCTTTTCTGTAAAACTGTAAAACTAGAGATACGATTTATGCTACTTTAGACTGTCAGCACGAGGGCCAAGTGTATCTCAGTAGTTTCTATTGTTAATTTCAAAGCCTGTTTAACTGAACCTCAATAAGCATAAGGTCACACTGAATGCTATTATAAAAAGACGCAGATGTTATTAGAATGTCTAGAAAATTAAAGTTATTTACATTTAAATAATCATTACTGAGCAGTAACATTAATACACTAAGATGTTAGTGTATTAAACAAAAAATTTCAGAACCTTTTGACGTTTAGGTGTCTCTTTAGATTTTACCAGTTAAGCATCTTTCATCCAAAATGCTTATCAACATTTTGACAGGATTTCAGATTTTCTAACAAGGCATGTTAAACATACCCAGTGAATATATTAGAAGATGAAAACACATTTTTAGAACTGATGGGATAAGAAACATCATATAGCTAGAGACTTCAAAGTCCTTAGAAGCAATGCCTAGTCTCTAAAACATGAAGTTTTCTTACCTGCTTAAACAATGTCCAATCTTAAGTGATGA